AGCCCTGATTGCCACTTGCAATACTTGGAAGAGCAGACCCTGCATCCCGCCAGGGCAACACAACAGATCCAATCCTGTTAGTGGAGGTGTGGGTGAGCCACTCCAGAAATGGTGAGCATGGGACAGCTCCCATTTTCCACCTGATGGGCTATCTCTGTAGCCACCCAGGCCCAGACCCAAAGTTGTGACTTGGCCTTACCCAACATCCATCCCATCTACAATCTGCTGGACCATGTGAAGGAACCTGACCCACAGACCCAAAGCTGCTGGATGTCCACAACACAGGGCACCAGCAGGACATCCAAAAAGAGTCCTGGGGGTGGCCAGCATTGAACATGTAGTGGAATCCAGGGGCCTCGGACCAGACCAATGGCTCTTCACAATGAACACTTGGAAGGACAGTTGTATGTACCAAGGAGTATACGGGATGATTTCTTGAGTCTCACTACAGCTTCCACTGAACTACATTCCCAGTCATTGAGTTGAAATATTGAATCAGTTAGAAATGAATTACATGTAAAAATATTTAGCCCAGTACCTGATGTATGTAAATGCACACATCTGTTAAAATGTTTACAAATTTTGAGCCAAAAGTCTAGGGAGATAACTTGGTCATCAAAGTGCTTTCCACATAAGCATGAGGACCTGACCTTGGGTACCCAGCATACTCATAAAAACCAGGCATGGTGGTACCTATCTGCAACCCTAGGGTTTGAGGCTGGAAACAGTATCCCTGGAGGTTACTAGAAAATCAGCCAAGTCAATTCATAAGCTCAGGTTCAGTGACAGGCCCTGGCTGAAATAGTTACGGTAGAGAGCAGAAGAGGAGATGTCTGGCATACACACACACACACACACACACACACACACACACACACACACGCACACACACACACGCATGCACACACGCTTTAAATTGTGAGCCAGATGCAATAGTGAACACCTGTCATCTCAACACTTGGGAGGCATAAGTGGGAAAATTAATTGCGCCTAAGAATTTCAGAGTATCCTGGGCAACACAATGAGACCTCTGTCAGCTCAAAATTTAAATAGGTGTAGAACCTACACCTTATGGGGGATAACTGATTCAATTTTTATGAAGAAGTCAATAAGAAGAAAATAAAGTTCCCCGTTTGAGAGCAAGGGTGACATTTCATTCATTGCAGTTCCCTCCACACACTGCCTCTAATAATAGAGACATAAATATAGTGAAGACATGCTATGGATGGAGGGTTTGTCCTATAATTCACAAGTAAAGGTCCTTTTTCCTCAGTTTTACTGTTCGCTATATTACCATTTCCACCAGAAAGTTTAACATGGAAGAGAAAATGAAAGCAGGTGAACATTTTATTCAGGTTTGACTCGTCAAAGTAAGCGACATCCAAACAACTGGATGAAGTTAGGCTGGCAGAGTCTTCATCTGCACTGCTCTTGTCCTGTTTTCTGCAAATCTCTGCTAGGCCCCGCTGCATCAGCTCTTATAAAGCTTTGAGATAGTGATATGAGAGCATTTTATTTGAAAATCAATAAGAATCATGACTTCTCTTTGAAAGCGCTTCTGCAGGCATGAAGAATAGTGGAGGATTATTTGAACTCTGCCAAGTTATTATTTTTCTTGGCAACTGGAAACAGAAGAAACCTCTTCTCAGCGCAGGCCTGGAAACAATGTAAAGGTTCCCATAACACCCTTTTACAGCCCATTTTACTCTTTATGGGGTTGTACTTAATTGCTTGACAACTGATTCTCTTCATGAATGAAGACTCTTTAGGAGTCTGCCTTTTCTGTAGGTAACCTCACCTTCCCAGCATAGGAGACACTGTGGCTAAGTACAAGAATCAATTAAAGATCGTTGGGGTCAACTTAAGGCTTAATCAAATGTCCCTTTCAAATTTTATATGTATATGTTTGTGTACCATGTGTATGCCTGGTGGTTATGGAATCCAGAAGAAGATGGTGTTGGATCCGCTGGGACTGGAGTTACAGATGGTTGTGAGCTGCTATGTGGGTGCTGAGACTTGAACCCAGGTCCTCTGGAGGACTTACGCTTTTAAGCATTGAGCCATCTCTCCAGTCCTCTCCCCCAAGGCTCTCTCTTAAAAGTCACATCCAGCCTGGCGGTGGTGGCGCACGCCTTTAATCCCAGCACTCGGGAGGCAGATCTCTGTGAGTTCGAGGCCAGCCTGGTCTACAAGAGGTAGTTCCAGGACAGGAACCAAAAGCTACGGAGAAACCCTGTCTCGAAAATCCAAAAAAAAGAAAAAAAAAAGTCACATCCAACCAAAGCAGATCGGTGATGATGTAGTTGGGAACAAACTTGTGTCCTCAGTTGTAAGAAACAGAATCAAAATATTCTGTTCCATTCTCTACACATGGTTTAAGAGGGTCAAGCTGGGCATCAACTGCTGTGTGCTAGCTGCCTTTTAAACTAACTGGGGGTTTCAGAACATTGCTGGAAAACAGGTTATCCTGCCAAGGCAACCTGTTAAGTGGCAAGCAATATTTAAGAAGCTCTCATTCTTAAAATTAAGCCAAATAACCAACACTACGTAATTGTAATAACTGAAGATTCCTACTAACAATTATTCCATTACTTGGATGTATTTTTGACAACATATGATCAGATACGGTGCTGTATTTTCATGAAGCATTAGACAATTATTATTTTGAAATCAAATATATTAAACCTCATATGCACTGTTCCACATTGAGATTCCTTTTGAGTTCATGGTAAAGACAGGGTACCAGTGAGCAATTCATAAGTTACATCCTTTTGTTATATTTATTCTAGAAATTAAAGTGAATAGAGTAATACAATATGAAGAAAGTACACAAGTACCTAACAGGCTAAGATTAGCCTTGAGAATCCCAAAATTTATTTTTCTTCTTTAAGAATAATCTCACTTCATCATCTAAATAATTGTACCAAATTCTTTATGATATGCACTGATTGACCATTCAATTCATTTCATAAGATAACTCATATTGGTATTAAAAACTAATATCAATGGTCAGGAGTAGTGGTGTACACCTTTAATCCCAGCACTTGGGAGTCAGACACAGCCACATCTCTGTGAATTTGAGGACAGTCTCATCTACATAGCAAGTTCCAGGACAGCCAAGACTATATAGAAAGACCCTGTCCCAAACAAAACAACACAAAACAAAATTAAGGAACAAAATAACTACATTCATATCTCCTCAATATAAGGATACATCTGTTGCGATTATAGCAATAATCCTGATGACCCACAGTCCAGTATAAAGCACGGTTATTACAGTTTCGCGCATGTGAAACAGCTTCCCGAATAACCAGCATTTTGTTTGTGGTGGGTTTAAGCAAGACTCATTCCAGCACTGAAGGACATCAGAAGACAATGGTTTGCAAACATTTCCGCAGTAAGGATACAAATAAGGAAACAAAATATCTAAACAATTTCGTCATCCTAAAACCAGGAAGGAGAAGTAGCTCTTTCCAGTTCGGGAAGGCAGGGAGAAAACAGACATCGTAAGTGACACAGGTCAACATGGAGAACAGACACTGTCAGGCCCAGGAAGTTCAGCTGACTTGGATTCTGCAAAAACTCTTCCTTCTGTTTACAAATTCAAAGGCACCCTAGTGCTCCACCCCAAGGCTCCCTTTGCCCCCACCCCCCACATGTTGCTCTCTGACTTTCTTTGCTCTGTGCTGGATTTTGCTGCCACAAACACAAACTGAAAGTCAAAAGCACACCTCCTCTGTCCTCCGCACAGCCTATGGTAAGCTCCTAGAGTTATGGCCTCTCACAGAACACTCCAACAGAGCAGACAGTGTGTGCCAGTTTCCTGATTTTCACAAGATGCAAACTCATTTTTCAAAGCAATAGGTATATAAACACAGAGAAGGCCTGGCTTAGATAACTACTAAACGTGATTTTACTCTCTGCCCAAAATATCTTAAAAACAGGTTTTCTTTATTGTGTTTTCTTTAGGATACATTTTCAGCCAATGAAAATAAGCATCAAAAATATACACCATGCTTGCTTAATCTGGGCAATATAAAAAAGTCAAACCAAAAGAAAAAAATCTAAATTCAATCATTCTTAAAATTGCAGTCACAGTGTTTATTTGGCAAAAAATATTTTTATCTGGCTACTTAGCATCATTTAATATGCAACATTAAATAATCATTGCAGTATGTCATCAAATATAATTAGCAAAAGTATTTTTATCTGAATACTTAGCTTTACATATATGCAATAATAAATATTCATTGCAGCAAGCTATCAAATATAAGTGTTTCTCTAGTTTTAATAAAGTTATAGATTTTTATTTAGTAATAGAACGTTTTCTTTTTTTTTTCTTCTAACGAGCACAATTATCACTTGAGCATCCACAATAGCATGCTTTCCAATCTTTTAATGACACAGAAATAGTTTAAATCCCCTTGTCTTTGTTTATGTATCCTGAAGTTTCAGCAGTCATGCAAGAGTTCTTTAAAGGGTTCTCAGAGTTGCCCCGTTCCCACTGCTCACAAACACACATGGAACTGCTTGTATTTGTACCGATCCGCTTTAAATTGTATATTAAAAATAGTAAAATTACCACCATTTTTTCAAAATTACCAGTAAATTAATTGCATCAACTTGTGATCAAATGAATTCAATCCTCTTAAAATGAATAAGTGTTATTTTCCTTAGTAAATACTTCCAGAATGTAAAAACAGACATACAAAGAAGGAAACAGTTGCAAAGAATAAACTCATGTAACAGTATTATCTTAAATCCTATATCTGGAATCTAAATGCAGATTTTAAATTTCCCTTTTCATTTTCTATTGTAACCATAACTAAGTCCTAAGATCACTGTGCTAGACAACAGGCAACTAAAACTGGATCTAACTTCACTTAAAGGTATTTCAGACATTGAACTTTAGCACACGCAGCGTACACCCAAAAAGATCTTGTCTGTCACCGTTGCTCTAACGTAGGAAAGGAGAAGCTCGATTCTGACGATTTACTTACCTTTCGGTGTCTTGAAAAATTCTGGCAAGACTAAAATGAATGTGACCACGATTGCCACAAATAATTTAAGAAAAGCTGTTTCTGTCATGTCTACTCACATGACACAACCGTGTCTCCATCCAATAGCTTGATACTATTTTGCTTCCTGCTTCGAGTTTCATCTCTGTTCTACTTCAAGTTCCTGAGATTGAGATTCACCTCACACTCACTTCCGTTTGGGTCAGACTTAAAAAAAAACAGAAAAAAAAAAAAAGGTACCCGGAACTGAGTGATAGACTTCTTCATTTTGAATCACTTTGCCTAATAAAGCCACCCTCTCTCTAACAAGCACTTTTGAACTATCTGCTAAACAAGGAAAAGAAGTAAACAATCTTAAGAAGCAAAGGGGGTCTGGCTTCATCCAAATTTGAAGCTGTTTTCCATGTTTACCAGTGTGTAAGGATAAGTGGAAGCCCTCAACACAATAACCGAAAATAAAAGATCAAATGTCAGTGGCATCCAGGTTTCTGAACCCCATTCACTGGCTGACTTACTCAATGGTAGCTGATCTCTCAGAAATGCCAGGTGCCGTGCTGGAGGCTGGTGTTTGGAAGACAGTAAACAGCACAAGATATAAGCATAAGCCAAAGGCTTATGAAAATGTGGGGTTCTGCTTTACTGTCGTCTCTGCAAGGGGTTAGAATGTAACTTGTTATGTCTATAAACACTGTGTTTACTACCACACAGTCCACATTTCTATTCTCTTCGCTGAATAAACTCTTTCATTGGAATAATCCCAGAGAAAGAAAATAGTTTGTTTTAGCATACAAATGCAGGATAGGGAAAATTGTGATAAATAAATATGTGCAAGAGAAAGATTTTACTTAGACAATGCATATAGCTAGCATTTCCATTGTTACCCGTCTGGCTCATTAAAATAAAAATGTATCAAATATTTTCAATTATTTTCTCCCTGCTCGGTTCCTATAGTCCCGTAACCATGATTGGCCTGTGCATGGGAATCCTTGCTTAGGGGATTTTGAGACCTAAGCAGTAGAAATAGGAGCAGACTTCTCAAGTGCAAACTTTAAGAACAGCATCAAGGGTTGATATGTGAGCACTAGCTGGTAGGACTGGAGTTTCCAGTTAAATACCAGCTCGATTCCTCAGTACTTTGTAAGTATGTGTCTTCTTCAGCAATAGGGCCTTACTGTCCAGTTGTAGAGGATAACCAATAGCATTAACAATAGCTTGTCATGTTTGTGGGGTCTATGGGATCCCTTTGGTCACTAATTTGAAAAGATGTAACTCGTTCCTGGTGCTAGGGATTTTATGAGGTAGCAAATGATGCCCAGTTGAGGTATTGGACCTCCTGCGGTGATACGCTAGCTCCACTTAGACTCTTTGTATATGTATATATATCTTAGGAAGTTTCTACAGCATGAGGTTTACATGCGACTTTTTCAAAGGTCTTTACAGTTAGCTGTCCTTGCCATATCCCTCCTTCCCCTGCACGCCCAGCCCTGTCCCTTTATCCCTCCTATTCTAGTTTCCCCTTCATCCCTTTAGAGCACTGAATTCTATTACCCCTTCCTTGGATATCTTAATGTCTATCCTTTCCCTTATAAATTTTGTAGTGATACCTTGGTTCACTCAGTAATTCTTATATCCATATAAAATTATTGATTTAATAATTTTCTTTGTTGTAATATTTTTGCCGGGTCTGTATTAGTCACTTTCTGTCACTGTGTCAAAATATCTGAGTAAAATGCCTTAAGGGAAGAAAGCTTATTTGGGCTTATGTATTGGGATGTTTTAGTGTGTGGTCATGTGACTCATTGCTGTTGGGCCTATGCATGGTGAGGCAAAATGTGGAAACGTGGTAGAACAGACTGGCTTCCCTCATGACAGACAGAATGCACAGGAACAAGGAACGGGACAAAAATACATCCATTAAGAGCATTCTGCTGGCAATCTATTTCCTGCTAGAGCCCACTTAACAATCCATTCAGTAAGAATTCCATGGATTAATCTAGTGATTAAATCGGAGCTTGTATGGTTCATTGATTTGTCAAAAAAACTTTCAGCTGGCAGCCAAGCCTTAAACATATGAACCTTCATGAAGCATTTTTAGAATCAGAATCAAACCATTCTGACACAGTGCATAATGACATTCCCATGCATGGGAGTAGACATGTGCATGCACACACATACATATACACACGCACACACACATACACACACATACGTGTACACACACGCACACACATACACACACACATACACACACATACGTGTACACACACGCACACACATACACACACACACATACACACACATACGTGTACACACACGCACACACACACACACATACACACACACACATATGTGGGGAGATGGGGGAGAGACAGAACACCACCACCACCCTGCTCCCTACCACTCAATCTGGTCATCATAGGTTTAGACACTTTAAAGTCAATTTTCTTGAAAGGCCCTTTGTCCTGGTTGCGATCATGTGCTCTGTTCTGTACCTGGCTTCTCTGGTGGTGTCCAGATGGTGGATATCAGGAGAGCAACAGAAGGACCATAAACCCCAGACCACAGGCTGGCTGCTCCGAGTGGATCAGGGGATCAGAATCTTTCATCCAGACTCTAAGACAGTTGTGCTATCTCTGATTTAGCCAATCTTAAGAAAACACAATGCTATTGTCTATGGTCAGTCTCTTAGATTGCTAATCCAATTGTAACTATTTTTTTACATTACTGATTTTGTGTATGTGTGTGTGTGTGTGTGTGTGTGTGTGTGTGTGCATGTATGCCGTGGCCTTGGCATGCCTATGGAGATAGATAGGACAACTTTTGGGAGTCCGTTCTCTCCTTACAGATTGTGGGTCTTAGGGGATCAAACTCAGGTCATCATGTTTGGAGGTGTAAGAAATACTAAATATGAGTCTTCCCTAACAAGTACTGTAAAACCTGTGTTTAGGCCAAGAAATTCAAATCTTCTTGTCCCTCCCACATTGTAAAGCTTCTAGGCCAATATTTTTATCTCCTCCAGCAGTAAAACCTTTGTTTGCACAAAGGCCTCTGCTGCATTCCGGGAATTTGATGGCCTGGAACACTGACCCTTTTCTCCTTGAAGCAATGGCCCCCTTTCCTCTTCCTCTTTCATTTCCTGTGGACCAACTTTTCAGACCAGCTGGTCTCATAGGATTGCAAGGTCAGACCCCTGCCAATGGGAAAAGACACAGTCGCCGCCTGAGTTAGACTAAAAACCCAGTGTACTTTCTGTCAATGTGTGACTAATCTTCCCTTCTGAACACACCCCGTTGACCAACAGTCAGGACTGTCCTGTGTGTGCAGACGCTTCAGCCGGAGTGGTGGTCTCTTCTTGGCAAGCAAGGGCAGTGCCTTTACCCACTCAACTGTCTCGTCAAACTCAGTTGTTAAGTTTTAAATCACTCCGTCTATAGTTGCTAACTGCTTGAATGTTTGCAGAACAATAGTCAAAAGCAAATTCCACACATCCAGTGGGTGTTTGGTATGTTAGACACAAAGAAAATCTCAGTGAGACACAAGGAACGCACAGCAAAGCAAAGGAACCACCTCGGTCACTGTTCTACTGTTGTGAAGAGACACCACGACCACGGCAATTCTTACAGAATAAAGCATTTAACTGAGGGCGTGCTTACAGTTTCAGAAGCTTCGTCTATTATCATCACGGTGGGGAGCATGGTGGCAGGTATATATGGTGCTAGAGCAATAGAGGAGAGCTACATCCTGATCAATAAACAGAAAGAGAGAAAGACTGGGCCTAGCATGGGCTTTAGAAACCTCAAAGCCCACCCCCAGTGACGCACTTCCTCCAGTAAGGCCATGCCTACTTCAACAAGGCCACACACTCAATCTTTTCAAATAGTTCCACTCCCTGATGGTCAAACATCAAGTCTATGAGCCTCTGGGGACCATTCTCACTGAAACACCACAGAAGGCAATTTCTTTCTGTAAGACGTAGCTAGAACTAGCTATCACACAAGAACAAGTTCACTTGGTTTTTATTCTAATGCAGTTGTCCCACCCCCACCCCAGAACTGGCTGAGGTTCAACCTCTCAAACTTTCACAATTGGCTGACTTTAAAAGAATCAGTGGAGGGAGCTGGAGAGAGGGCTCAGCAGTTAAGATGGCTGACTTTTCTTGTAGAGGACCTGGGTTCAGTTCCCAGCATCCACATGGCAACCGGCGAACATCTGTAACTTAAGTTCCAGGTGATACAACGCCCTCTTCTGGCCTCCTCCAGCACCAGGCACACATGTGGCATGCAGACATACACGCAGGCAAAGCACCCCCATGCATAAAATAATAAAAGAATAATTTAAAAAAAGAAAAAGAAAAATTGGCACAATGGAATAAAGAAAAGAGGGGAAGAAGCTGGCCACCTCAGTCCATCAAGTTCTGGGAATGTGTTCCATCTAGTCTTTGTGAAAACGATGTTTTACCAGGTGGTGAAGAGTAAAGATCTGCATTGAAGTTTTACAAGGTTGGAGAAATTTATGGAATATTGGCCCTTGGCAGACTAGCTACTTTTAACATAAAAAAAATTTTTTTTCCTCACAATTATCTTTCAGAGGTTCAATGGCAAGGGTTAAACACAATGGGCCAAATGTCTTGCTTCTTCTGACTCCAATAATTCATCCATTAAAATTTTTCACAGCTGAAATTCCTAAATCCATGAAGTGCATCGTTTTACATTTGCTCCTGGAACCATAAGGTTTTGCCTGGTTCTGCCCAGAGGTATACCTATGTGAAACACCCCTTGTCTATGCTTTCTTCTTAGGTGCCTAAAAGTGAAAACGCTACAGAAGTGAATTTTGCTGCTCTTGTTGTTGTTGTTTTTATGAGATAGTGTTTATGAGATAATATTTATAGATCCCTGGCTGTCTTAGAACTCAGTAGACCAGGCTGGCCTTGAATTTACAGAGATTCACCTGCCTCCACCTCTTAAGTGCTGAAATTAAAGGTGTGTCTCTCTATTTCCAGCCCTTATTTTTAAAGCCAGAATTCATTTATAATGGCCCATTGATGGATCATAATTCATTTCACTGTAGTCT